AAGATCGCGCATTGCACAGACAAAATAAAATAATTTTTTATAATTAATGTGAATTTATACGCCCGAAAAATGCAATTTATCGCTGCTCAAATTGCCAATTGTCGATTTGCAATGCAAAAATCTGGTGCACTAGTTTTGTATATCGTTGCTTTTGTAACCAATAAAATCACATACATACGTACATACATTAACAAGAAACCACGCTTTGAGTAGTTTATATTTCACAGCGAGTCGGAAAACTTGCGAAATTACAGAAAAATAATTATGTATGTCGGAACTTGTTGGCGAGCATTTGGTGGTATGAGTGAGAATGCCATATATATTGTAGGTATAGATATATATGTATACACGCTGGCTTATACCCAATACTTGTTTTTCTTTGTAATTACCCAGGAGCAATTCTAATCATCTAAGGCCTACAGATTTTTTAAGCTAAAATATTTTTCAAGCGCCGAAAGTACTTCAAAAAGGAATTTAAGATTCCAGGTGAGTTGTAATGATTAAGTGGAATGTCTAGTCACTGAGCATATTTAAAAAATTCTCAACCAATGCATAGAAGCTCTCACTTGTGTTGTTTCTATTTTATTCCCTCCCACAGAATTTTCGATAGTCCGTATCGGAAACGATTTTTAGTTTTGGTAATTAATCAGCTAAGGCCTGTCACGAAACTTTGAAAATTTGTAATTCGCTGTAAGCGAGTCGATTTGAGCACAATTTAATAGGATCCTTCCATATCAGCTCTATCTTTATTCTTCTTTAGTAAAGCACACCGAGGTAAGTTCATTCAGTCGATGTTTGTCTATTTGGAGCCATCTACATCTGTTCTTATTTCTAAGACGACATAAAACTAATATAGGCGAAGGCATTCATATCAACATTTTCTCCAGTGAACGTCATTGAAGAAAGTTCATCTTACCGATGTAAAATTCATCTTAATTATAAGCGCTTTTTTCATCAAAATTTAGTGAAGATAGTTCACCAAAAGGAAGAGAAGCCAAATATGCTCTTCTTCTTAAATTAAATGATTTGAGGGAAGTTCATCTAGTCAGCTTGATTGTTCTCAATCGGATATATCTATATAAGATTCTTATTCGACGAAATTTTATGAAGAAGCTACCTTTGCCTTTGCTAGAATTCTTAAAAATTCTTGTAATAAATGAGTAGAAAAAGTTTCTATAAAACTGACATTGTTGGTGTTCAGGTGCACCTAGAGCTGTCATAGAAACCTTAAGATCAGCACAAACCCATTTAATCGAAGCGAAGTTCGAGTAAAGCGGTTCTTCTGTTTGAAAAATTCATACTTGAACCAGAAATCAGTGGAGAACTTTATTTACTTCTATCATTGGGATATATTGTGTGATAATTTCGGGATTATTTCTATTATGGACTTAAGATAAAGATAATTTGGAAACCTCATATTTTGAAAATGATTTCCATATCTAGTCTATATAATGTGGAGTTTGCACTTTATAAGCGCTGAATCGGTTTTACAATTTGTGGACCTACAGTTTATTCTAAATCGCCTCGGAATGGTCGATGGATTTTTATTTGGAGCTTTTCATGTCAGTAATATTTACATTCGGAGTGCTTGACATTCGCTGACGAGGGGCGACAACAATTAATTTTCTATAAATTTTAACTCTAGTTGATCTAGCACTGGCCATGCTAATCACTCGGCTTTTGTACTTACTAGTACTAGAAGTAATAGGAGATTTTTGTGGGTATCCGGGAGGGTCCTGATCTCGTTGTAAGATCACATATAAAGAGAATTTCATTTTGCGCCATAGAAAATTCTTTCGTTTCTAAATCTTCTGCTAAGAACTTCAATATATGTTTTATTATAAATTAATTGATTTGAAATATTTTGGGGAAAACCGAAATTAAGTTCTCAATTAATTTAAAATTTTTTTAAATCGCTTTTTAAAAATAACTCGCTTAGTACAATGAATTACAAACAAGCTTTCTTCATAGAAGTCATTAGTAGTATACTGGGTATAGAAATTACAAGAAAGTCTATATGTACATATATATATATGTATGCCCACTCGTTTGTTTGCTGGCAGCTCGTATGAGGAAGTGGGCTGAAAAGAACAGCCCACAATGCAATTGATTTTCACATACAAAGATATATAGATATATATAAATAACAGAGATTGTATTTATACATATTTATATATAGACAAAAATATTTGTATTTTCCTCTTAGCCGTCGACCAGGCAACCATACCACCATCCATCCATCCAACCGACGAAACGACCGACCTACCGGCCATTCTTAACGGCAACTCACACCATTTTAATTGGATTTTAATAGAGACTCGCGCCTTGATTTCCACTGAAACGTGCCGCGTATTTTTACCATTCTAAGTAAGTGCACAATTACCGCACTTAAGCAGAAGACAGTTAAGTTAGCGCAAAAGTTCTTTCTATTCCCAGTAGCAGTTCTCATAAATTGACTGTCATATGAGGTTGGGAAAATAAATAGAAACTTATAGAGGAAAGAATCTCATCTAATGCCATTTCACTCAACTATGCTATATATATTTATATATATATATATATATATTTGTATATACAGATATAAAAGTATGCAAGCAGTTGCAGTTAATGGAAAAATAAATTGAATTAAATTCGGTTCGTTTCTGTCATTCCAATTTCCCTCATTCTCATCATCGACCGTCCAATCATCCAACCTCTTCGTCATCGCACTGTGTGACATTTCTTTCCCGCTGAGTCGATAAGTAGTTTGCATTGTTGTCACATACTAGAAGTCGGTTCGCTTAAGTCAAGTTAGAAAATACGAGTTCGTAAAAGGTGATTTTGCTACTGATATGGCATATTAGTAATTCATATTTGTAGATATTTTCCACAAGTGTTGACATTTGTTTTTTGTCTTCTAATGGCTGCACATGATGAAATACGAAAGGACGTTCCTGCTGTTTTCTAACGCGAGCAAATTAAATTGCAAGCGATGCAGGAAACTTAAATGGAGAAAATTATTTTATTTATAAAAACTTCTTATAAGTAATTAAATTCATAAATATTTACCGTTACATGATATAAATTTAATGCAGAAAATTGGCCTAAATTCCTTTGGAATTTGTTGGGGCTTTAATGTGTGGCATAAGTGGAATGATACGTGAACTGGTTGATTTGAAAAGCATATTTGGAAAATAGGGAAAAATATTTGCTGATGTACTGAACATTGCAAGGTAGATAGGTCCAGTTAACGGTAAATTGCAAGATTTTGATGCATTGTGGTTTGATTTTAATACTCCTACAATAATATTTCATCGTTCCGTTCAAAACATTTGTTATTTCCAATTGAGGATTTTCTACTAGTTACACACCAACAGAGAAAATGGAAAAGTGCTTTCCAGTTATCCTCCAGTTCGCAGCAGCGGCAACCATTTATACGCGAGAGAGAGAAGCAGAGAGGGAGAGAGAGAACGATAGGGACAGAGTGAACGATAAGGAGAGGGATAAGAAACGAGATAGAGGGAACGAGATAGAGGGAACGAGATAGAGGGAACGAGAGATATGGAACGATGGAGAGAGAACGATAGAAAAAAAAGGGAAAGTGAAAAAGTGAGTGAGATGGAGAGAGAGAGAAGCAGAGAGGGAGAGAGAGAACGATAGGGAAAGAGTGAATGATAAGGAGAGAGAGAGAGGCAGAGAGTCACAGAGAGAGCGATAGGAATAGAGTGAATGATAAGGAGAGAGAAGCATAGAGGGAGAACGAGAGATAAAGAACGAGATAGAGACAACGAGAGATATGGAATGAGCGAGAGAGAACAGAAATAAAGAGTTAGATAGTTAAAAAGAGATGCAAAGTTGCTTGGGGTACAGCCCCGCCCGGGGCTCTATTCCACTTGGAAACGACTGTACAGACTTAATAGACATAATGCTGACCTCCTATACATTTTTTAATCAAGTGTAGAGGATATCTTCACATGGAAGCTACTCTTAGAAATCCACTTTGGGGGGGATATAACTGACTTATTTAAGATTTATAAGCATAAGCCATTCACACATATAAAAAAATTACTCAAACCCTTAACTGTGTATTTATGTTTTATGTATGTATTGACTACACGATTATGTTATGCACTAAGATGGATTTTACAACGACCACAATGGAATGTTGCAGATGTAAAAGGAACTAAAACAGGACAATTACAATGCAAGTATCTGCACAAGACAGCGCTGTGGTATTTATTACATAAATTTTTAAAAATAGGTATATACTAGATAATGTAATGTATGTTATGTATATACATGTGTAGCTATGTATGTAAGTACGAAATCGTAAAATAGCTTTTACGGTTCATTGGTTCATTGCCTTGACTTGGCAGTTAAAGCTGTTCGTATTAAATTACAAAAAGCTTCAACAACAAACCAGCATAAGCAACAACAGCAACGACAAACCAACATAAACAATAGCAACAGCAACAACATTGTTGCAACATTTAGAGCACTGAAGCGCAAACATTCCAAGAGGCAGCAAACGATTTATGAATTTAATGCGACATAGATTCAGCGTGTTAACAAATATATACACAAACACATCGGTACATCAACAAATGTATGACAGAGAGTTGTTGCAATAGAAATGCAAAAATATGTTACGCCACCGAGGACTGCAGGAAGTGAATGTTGTTGCGGTGGAAAATAGTGGAAGAATGAAGGAAAGAAAGTTGTGTCGTGACTTTGAGTGTGCTTAAAGAGCATATATATGTGTAAGTGTAATGAAAAAATGACGGGAATGTTGTCTCTGTGGTTGACATAGATACTTCTTTATACATAAATTTCCAAGAGTGTGCATTTCCTCGGTATGAGTCTGCATTCCTTTAAGGTATGTCGATTATGTGTCAACACCAATGTCTACTTGACAGTATTTTAATAAATTACACTTAACATCATTATTTAGTAGTTCAGCTATGATATTTGTTTATTTTTATGTATAAGTATGTATAAGGAAAATCGTTCAGTTCACTTACCGTTGCAACAATGGTTAGATAGTAACGTTGCACCTTCTCGTAGTCCAGCGTTTTGGCAACAGTCACCTGTAGAAACACAATATATATAGATATATATATAAACATATATACGCGCAGATAAAAATTTGGTTTTTTTATTTTTAATTTCATTAAATGCGCATAAATCATTTCGTTTATATGATAAATTTGTATTGTTTTTATGCAGAAAATGCCAACAGCGCAATAATGCATATACCTATATTTATACAATATATATCAATCACTTTGCATATGAGGTGTGTTGCTGCATTTAATAAATAAACAAAATACCATATACATTTTAATGCTCATATTTTTATTGACTTAAGTAATTTTGGCTTGCAGTTTGATTGATCGCCTCGATTATTGGCTATGAATGACAGTGGAAGGCCAGCAATGGAGCATATGCTGCTATGTACGTAACTCATACTTTGCATTGTCTATCAACAGCAGAGATGCAGATAAATTCGCTAAATGATTGAGGCCACCAACGCTAGTTTGTGTTTATAACTCTACATTAGGGTGTACTTCTTGCACTTAAACCATTATTTAATTTAAGTTAATAATCTTTTCCTAATTAGCAACAAATTTAAAGAGTTAAATAACCCGAATATTAAAAAAATAACGTCTTAAATTTATATATACTTTTTTTTCTCGCAAGAAAATTTCAAAAGATTTTTTGGACCACTCTAGTATTAAGTCTTCCAATTAAAAACTCTTATGCATTTTTTGTTATAGTTTCTTTGTTTGACTTTTGTATGCTTTTATTTCTCCGAATGAAAATTCATCGAAACAAATGTGACAAAGATTTATTGCCAGAATTTATATGGCATTGTCCGTTAAATCGCTGAGAAGCTGCCGGATTAGACAATTTTTTTGGAGTTTTGAAGTAATTTGAAGTTAATGAATTTTCATTGATCGATATAAGGTTTAAATTTATTACCTTTTATCACATTCGAATTTATTTAATTTATTAAAAAAATAGTTTAAAATAATAAATAAAAATAAAATAAGGCAATAAAATTAAATGAATAAAAGTAATAAAAAACAAATAATAAATAATAATTCAAGTATACTTGAAGAATTAAAATAAAATAAAGTAATATAAAAAAATATCGTAAAATAAACTAAAAAAAAATAAAATAAAATAAAATAAAATAAAATAAAATAAAATAAAATAAAATGAAATAAAATAAAATAAAATAAAATAAAATAAAATAAAATAAAATAAAATAAAATAAAATAAAATAAAATAAAATAAAATAAAACAAAATTAAATTGATTTTTATTGAACTGAATTTTAGAGGAAAAGAGAAAATAAACAAAAGTAAATAAAAAATTATGTCAAATAAAATATATTTATATAAAATAAAATAAAAATAAATTTGAAAGCTATTTATTGATTCAATCAATTCTTTTATTGAGGAAAGTAAACTTATTTCCAACGTCATTCAGGATTAATTGTTAACACGCACACATACTTAAAGTTAAATTTTACCTAAAAATATATATGCATACTCGTATATACATTTTCATGTGTAAAAAAGCACCTTAGAATTATATTGACAAACACAACCGATCACTCACCTGCCCCTGATGTGGAAAGGAAATTGCAAATGTACCATATCCATCGGCAATTGTCATTTTCTCATCTTCAGTTGTATTTGTATTGCCTTCAACAATAAAATACTCAACAAGTCCATTAACACCAGCATCCTTGTCCAGTGCTTGAATGTGGCGAAAGATCGTAGTGCCGACGGGTGTGCTCTGTAAACAAAAGAGAAGAAGAAAATAGTTAAAGATATAAATGAAAGGAATGAAGGCTAAATGAATGACAAAAAATAGTAAAACTTATGTGTGTGAGGAAATTTAAAGCGAATAAATATTCAATTGAATAAAAGGGATTAAAAAGTTATTGGGAATATTAAGTACTAAAAGAAAAGTACTTTTCTGCAAAAAAAAAAAAAAAAAAACAAACAAAAAAAATGTATAAAATGGCTAAAATGTAATAAAAATAAATTCTACTTAAAGGAAATATGTATATGTTTGTTTTGAAAATGAGAATAAAATAAATTTCATTTAAGAATATCGCATTGGTATGAATACCGCAAACGAGTTGCTGACAGGAAAATGTCTAAAAATGGTAAAGTGACGGTTGTACATATGCTCCAGCAGCCAACAGCCAGCAGCCAGCAGCCAGCAACCAACAGCAACAGCCAAAAGCAAAAACAATGTCAATACTAACTTGCGCTAGAGACATAGCCGCCAGCATTGGCGCACTCACCGGCGCAAGTTCAAGACATTACTATGCATTGCAGGTGTAGCAGTTGAAGGAAAATTACATGTTGCCATTGCAGCAATTAACATAAATTAACTTGGCTTGAATGGTAAGTGAAATGTGCGTGGCTGGCCATATTTGTGAACGAGAGCAGCAAAGAATAGAATGGCGTAGAGTGTACAAGTACCAGGCGGACTAGAGTGTACTACGGAGTGAGAACTGAAAATCACTACGCGGCGTGCAGGGCAGCAGCACTCACTTAAGTGGTGAGCATAAATATTAAGCTATAACGCTTGCGAAGTGCCAAAAGCGCTTGAACGTAGTTCAGTTTAAATACACTAAGCGCATAAGTTATGGCAAAGTGCGGCTAACCAAGGCAAGTTCAGTGCAAGCCAAGATGAAGTGTACCCAGAATTTTTCCTTTGCGGAAGCTACACACATGCCAACGCACATACCTGTACATGTCCAAGTTATTTAGTTATTTACGTTCAACTTATTGTAGCCATTGTTAGAGTGTTCGCAAAGGCTTTCCGCAGTTCACTACCTTTGCAGTGCCTGTTTGGTGTTGAACCACAACACTCCACGCACCTTAAGTAGCAAATCAAGTCATACAAACATACATAAACTACATACGTGTATATATCGCATCCATGAACCCTTTTGGAAAATGCCGGCGAAATGCCAATAGCCAAGTTAAATGGATGATGATGCTGAGAAGATGATGGCCAAGCTTTATTTGGCTGTCCAGTTTATTTGCACGCGAACACCAAAGAGCAAGGAGTTGATGATTGCATTGCGAAAGTAAAAAATTAAAGTAGAAATGTGAAAAAATGCAATATTTAGTATTCTCACTGCCATTGGAGTAGTTAAGCCCTGCGTAAACTCTTCCGATTTCTAAGCGCGTCGCTCACGTCTCCTTGGAACATTTGTGTATGCAATAATGTCATATGTTTGCTTTAAATACATACTTTGACATACACATACTCGTACATACATACACGTGCGTTTATCGGCAGAGTCACATAAACTCTGGACTTAAGAACATTCGAGAAAAAAAGCTTCTTAAAAGTGAAAAAAGAAACGGACGAAACTCTTATACCCTTCAAGAATTTTGCTTAATTTTTCAAGTATTTATTAAAGAAATTTTTCATGTTATAAAAAGATTATAAAAAAAATTAGTTGCAAATGGGTTAAACGTCCATACAATTCGATAGTTACTAGCCATTAGATACTACCCGGAGAAAGAGAAAGTATTAGTTTCAGAAAAGGTCGAAAGAAGAACCGTTAACATCAGGAATGTCCAAATACAATCGCGCAGCACGCAACGTTAAGTTCGATTGTAAGGTTTCCCCTTAAGAGAGGTTCAGAGCGAGAAAATGGAAATTGAGGAGGCTAACTAGACGACAGTCGGCAAATGCGACAGGGATAGAAAGAGAGATCGAAAAGCGTGAGTATAAAGAACTGTGAGAAGTTGACGATGAGAAGATAAGTTATTCTTGTGGGCACAATAGGGGTAAACTGGAAACTGAAATCTCAAAATTTACGAGTAAAACCGAGCAGAAATTGAATGGAGGACTTTGGAATAGGCGTTTTATTACTCTACCTTGACGATTACTAGATTGAAGAATAATAAATGTAAGTAAGCTTATTGTTTACCGAACGAGATATTTAAATACGTCGGCCAAGAACTGCATAGGCTTCTTAACGAAGTATGGTCGGACAAAAGAACGTCCGACGATTTGAAACTGAGTCTAATTTTCATAATTCATAAGAAGAGAAATCAATAACACATCCAAGATCTTATGGAGCGCATGATGTGGAAGATTAAAGGAGCGCATGTTACGGCCCTGTAAGTGGGACTTTAGACCTGGCAAATACTTTACTGACCATATATTCACTATTCGCCAAATCCTGGAAAAGACCCGTAAAAGGAGATTCGACACACATCGACGTTCACATCTACGTCCTAAGACAACAAGTCTACACAGCCGTCGATCAAAACTTTGATAGATTACTAAAATTATCTTGCCCCAACAACAATGCCGGTCTTGAAATCCAACGCTGGACTGAGTAGATAGATGAAAAGTAAAGTCCTTTCTCGACGACGAAAGTCCAAACTCTTCAAGTCACTCATCGTTCCCGTCCTACTATATGGTGCAGTAGCATGGACCATGTCGATATCCAACAAGGCGGCACTTGGAATTTTCAATGCAAACGGTAAGATTTATGGTACCAGCCGATGGAATTATGACTAGAGAGGTTGGGGGCTGTACTGGCTAGGTAATGCCGTCTGTGTGAATGAAGGAACTTCAGCTCTGAAAACATTCAGTCAAATAGTCACGTTCTGGTATAACCTCCAGAGAGCGCGCCGATTCACATTTTATCTCTTTAATCGACTCAAAATGCTATGCTCGAAGTGGTCACTTGAGTTTTTGGAAGAGCTAGAAGTCACATGGTGCTAAGTCCGGCGAATGGGGTGGATGGGAAACGATATTTGTGGAATTTTCAGCGAAATGGACACGAAGAATGAGTGCTGTGTGCGACGGTGCATTATCGTGATCCGCTCCAAGTCATCAGCACGTTTCCGATCTCTTTGAAGTCTTTGTACCACTTATACACGTTCTTCTGCGCCATAAGCTCTCTGTAGCATCCGCAACGTTTTAGAAGCCGAAAATTCGTTCCACAGTAGTATACGCTAGTGGAAGCAGAGGTAGAGCCTTCTAAGAGCCAGGGGGAACCAACTTGGTTTCGCTTGGTGCAACCAATTGACGCCAGACAACGAATAGAAAAGCCGATTGGCGCGCTATTATTCTTTCGTCTATAATCGGGTAAGCGGCGCCGACGCCAATAAAGAAGAGCCAGACTTGCGCAAAACAGAAATTGTACTTTTTCGCTACTTCGGTGGATTTGCTGATCAATATCTCTTGAATTATATGGAGCACATAATTATTAGTACCCAAATATATTTCATATCTATAAAGCAATTGTTGTTAGTGGTAAGTTAATAAAAAAAATTCAGCCCGTATGGAGGTTTTCTGGCAAATACCACTCAAACTGAGATGAAAAATTTTCGCTTTTTATACAAATAGGGTATTACACACAAAGACCCGAAATGAAGATAAAAATAAAAATGTCGCTACTAGTATTAGCTGTGACTGGATTTTAATTGGCGATGAATCGTGGCACAATTTCCAGGAACATCGATCGAATCCATAAAACCACACACAGAGACAAAAATATTGAGAGGAAATGTAAAAAAAGAAACATATAAAAAACAAAATAAAAAAATTTAAACCAAAAAAAAAATTAACTACGTCTCAGGGGATGCTCTCTGCCAATAGCCGGTGATGACGTGTATCCGCTTTACGCTGCCACCAAGCTAACTAGACCCACAACTAACAACCAACAACGGGCAACAGGCAGGCAACAACGACGTTTTCATTTTTGTCATTGCGCTACTTTGTCGCTTTTATATTGCCAGCAGATAATGCGTGTTGTTGTGAGTGTATGTGCGTGTGTGTTTTTCATAATGTTGCTATTGCTATCATTGTCGTCTTGGTGGCGCGCCACAATAGTAGCGCAGTGGCAACAACAAACCTGCCACGACAGACAGGAATTGTTAATTTCAACGCGACCGCATTTGGTGCGTGTTGTTTATTTATGTATTTATTAATTGGAATCTTGTGGCGAAACAAATACGCATACGCAAAGAAAAGTGGAGAAAAAAAATTAAAGAGACATACCTACAAATACATACCTATGCATGTATGTATGCATGTATGTATGTGTCTCACAAACAAACACTTTAAGACAAAAATGTCTTACTTTTTTCCGCATTTGCTCCCATTTTTGGTCAGCTCCATTTCCCTGTGCGTGCATGTACTTATGTATGGGTGTGTGTGTGTGTGTGCGCGCGCTGGTTTATGTTTTTGTGTCCATTAGTGTTTTTTGATTTATTTCTCACTGCTTATTAGTGACTTATTTAACACACAATTAGTTGAACAAGTTTTCTCCGATATTTGATGCTGCAATTCTTCAGCTATCAGTTGCTTGTTCAGTTATCTTTTACTCTATGTACATATGTATTTATAGCTGCACTTATTTGTGTACTTATGATATCAGTTTGAACTTCTGATTTGCCTTAAGTGGGCACATACATATTAAGAGAAGTATTTGTTGTACTCTCTCCAACTAATTTACAAGTGCATAAATATGCCGTAAATGTTATTTGCAGTTAATTAATTAATTAAAACTGTTTGCAGTAACGGGCTTTGTGGGTTTTTTTCACTGAATGAATTGTTAATTAATTGTTATGGTACTCAAAAATTTTAGAAAACTTTATAAACAAAGAAACAAATTCATTAAATTGTAGAAAGCAAGAAATAACTCATATTTAAACAAGAAAAAAGAGTGATTGCTTCGGCCATGCCGAGGTATTTATACCCCTTAAAACCATGTTAAATATGAATAATGGTTGCAGAAGGCTTAT